TGCACAAGCAGAGAACTTCCTAGGTACCTGCGCACAGAAATGTGTCCCTTCTCCATGGCAAGACCATGGGGCTCGAGAAAACCAGTCTGGAACTGAAGAAACACTAACTATGAATAAAAAAGAAATGGAGAGCCAGAGCTAGTATGCAACCAATGTAAAAACTACTTGTTCAGCTTTAAAAACTTTCATTCCCCACAGTTTATATTTCCTCTATATGTTATGCAGAAATGAGATGCCAGCTGTCCCATCTGAATAGAAGTAGGTGTCATTGCAAGACGCTGCGATTTTCTTAAAGAAATTTTAATACTAAAATAATAATAATTAATAATAATAATAATAATAATAATAATAAAGGGGGCATCAGAGATCACTTTATCAATTTCAGAGGAAAGGAAATGAGTCTTTCTAATAACTGCTCTTTGAATCCATCTGGCTTTGTGGGTGTGGGATATTAGCTACTGACGGTCAATCTCACAGTTCTTGCCCCAGTGTTTTCTGAGGAAGCTACAGTATCCTGGACCTTTAAGGACCTTAGGGGGAGAAGACCTGGCTATGGGGTCTTACTCTGCTAGCCGCAGAGTTTTAGGTATGTAACTAGTTTTCTCTGGGCCCTGATTTTCTTGTTTGGAAAATCAGGAATGCATGAGATGACATTTCTAAAATATTTTGCAATCTCCAATGTCCTGCACAAACTGAGGTATTCTGTAACACTGTCATTATTTTTATACTTCCTAACCTATTTAAACTTGCAATTGCCAGGTTTCACTTGCTCTTAAATTTGTCCATAGTGACATAAACAATTTTTAGTACATTATGTCAACTCTGATTTAACCTCCATAGAATCCCTTTGACAACGTGTATTGAATTTAATATCTTTCTCCTTGACCTTTCCGGGCTTTCTGTGGACTGGATCTTTTGTAGGAATTAGGTATCTCTCCTACGCTGCCTGTTGATATCGTATATCATAGTTTTTGGTCAATGGTTTTACACTGTGTGTGATATTTCAGTCATAAATATGGGGCTGGGGCTGGCAATACTGAGTCTGTTTCTGTTTTGGAATGACCTTTGCTGTATCTGACATGGTTTCAACTCTATTCTTTCACACATCCGCTAAGCCTTTGAGAAAATCTTGAGTTACATTAACCTCAGAAGCAATCCTATTTATATAACATAACATTTTACGTCTTTTTCCCTTTCATGTGTTGTAATGTTCAGGCTAAACATACAAATTAAACTTGTTAGGAGTTTATCTTTGATTAATTTCCATGCTCATAGCAGTCTCTTACTGGTACTCTCATGGTTGGCTGAGAACACATGATCACAATAGTATGAAAATCGAGGTGCTAATGAATGAGAGAACTGCTTTCCAAAGACAGTAAAGTTCCTCTTTCTTTTAAGAAACACTTAGTAGTCAATAAGAATAAATAAAATAAAGACCTATCATTTATTACTTAACACTGAGCACAAAAGTTATGCAAATGGAGTCTTGTAATTAAATTCTATTTGTGCCCAGGGATCCAGATCTCAAAGGCTGGCCCAGCCACCTACTAACAACTTATTACTGGCCAAGCTCATTAATCTTTCTCAAGTTGAGTTTTCCCACCCCCAAGTAGAAGTAATAATGTAAAAAGTGTCAATCCCTAGCAGGTGTACAGGAAGCATAAACATAATAAATTTTAATTGCTCTTAGTAGAGTGTATGGTATACAGTAGGTCTTGATAAAAGTTAAGTATTTTGCTATATAACACAAGATTTCAATGTAAACTGAAACAGGATAACACAAAGATAACAGGCCTAAATAATAACTAAAGTACACTCAATTACAGTTTTTTATGCAGTGCCAGGATATGTAAGACTTGATCTAACAATTACCATTACGTTTCTAGATATTATCAAAACAATGTCAAATGTAATTAATATAAAATAATATTTATATTTAATATAAAACATCAATATAAAGCATTAATTTTAAAATAATTTTAAATAAAATATAAAATGTCAGTTGTCCTTATTGTAATATCGTTCAAGAATAGAACTTTCCTCCCCTGAAATGGTGTGTTGATGCCAATAAAGCAAAATGATGCACCGCTAGGGAAAATAATATGGAGCTTCCTCAAGACATTAAAAAAGGATCTGCCATATGAACCAGCAAGGTCATTTCTGCATATTTATCCAAAAGAAATGAAATCAGGATCTTGAGGAGATATCAACATTTGGCACTTAAAGAGCAGAATTTCACACACAAAACAAATAGCTCTCAATGAGGGTCCTTAACTGTCCGAACTGAACCTCTGTTACTGATGTTTAAATAAAGTCTTGGAGATTTGTTCAGACAGGACATACAAGTTTCACAGGTGAAACTTGGAAAATCTTTTTGTAAAATTTGTTCTAAAATGTCGGAGCAAGAAAAGATTCACAAGTACACTGTTCATACTTGAACTTGAAATCAACTCTTTCTCTATAAGCTGCTGTAACACTCAAGAAATTTTTCTTTTACTTTCCACAAACATGTCCTTTACTATATAAATAACATTTCATTAGCATGCTACCATCTTTAATAAGCTGGAAAGGCTGGAAAGGTAAGACATTAGCCGGAACCTCACGCCTTCACCGAATATGACACTTAAGCAGTTATGGGAGGGAGGGAGCTGTCACAACCTTCTTAGAGGAGACTGAGACTCAGAAATACCAGCCGACCTGTTGGTCATCCAGTGAGATACTGACAACAGATAATCAACTTCATGACTCTAAAATCAATGTTATTTATACTTACAGCTACAATCTTGACAAACACCTCCATTAAAAGGAAGCATACTTTGTGGCCAAAACTTTATAAATTGCAGCTAGAATGCAAAGATCAACATATCACTTTAAATCGCTATTATTTAATTGATCAGGTACATTTTCTAAGCAATCCAAAGAAACCAAGCCCCTCCCTCACCCTGCTTATGTTCCCCAATGGGCTTGGGCTGGCGTTCCTGCCTTCGAGGAGATAGACACTGGGATAAATAGGAAAAGCCAAGTGGGAAGGAAAATAAAGTTTGTGCTTCGACCATAAAAGAGTAGATTGTGTGATTGTGCCAAAACAACGCCTTCCTGGCAGTACACAGCCAACAGAGTAACTTTGGTGGGAAATATAAATGAATGAATGCATTAACTAATTAATTAATTACTGAAGAACTGACATTAGGCTCACTGAAGATCTCCATGACATTTCTCTGGATTTGAAAATTTGTGTTATATTTTTCTCATAAACCATAATTCTGTGAACTTGGACACAAATAAAGCAATAAGTACATTAACATTTTTGGAAAACACTCAATTTTCACATTTATACCCAGGTATATCTCACACACACATGCACACACCATCCAGTGACTACATTGAAGATATGCTACACTTCCCTTAATATAATTTTTCTTTCATTAAACTGTTCTAAATGGAATTATTGAAGTGAATGGGCGATAAGAAAATGAATGACTTGAAATTTTTTGAGTTGTTTATATTGCAAAGTTTTAGAAACTAAATTGCAAGATCAGCTCTGGTCTGCATCCCTGTGGTTTCCCAGCAGACAGGACACAGCCTGATAAGGGCATGAAGATCCCAGGCTCTGGTGCCAAGCCTCTGGGAACAGGAAATAATATATTTCAGCAAAGAATAGAGCTACCACATTTGAACTGTTTTCCAAGAACAAGAGAATGTTCACAGATTTACCCTTTATGTATTAATACATAATTTTAAATATCAGCATCTGAATTATCAATAAACATATCATCGCAAATTGGACACTAAGATCTTTCATGGTTGACATTTAGTTGGGGCTGACCTGGAAAGAAGTGCCTCTGTAATCGGTAATAGCTTCTATTAAAGCTACTGCAGCATCTGCCAGTGCAGAGGAAAGAAATCTAATTGCCAGGCCCAGGAACAGAGGTCTCCTTGGGTTGGAGTATATCTGACAAAGCGCCTCATAACCTTATTCCTCTCTCCGAATTTCCCAAAGCTGTCTGGTGTGCGTGGGTTTTGCTTCTCACAAAAACAAGCTTTACAGCAGCACAGAAGCATCGCTCACCGTCTCAGCTAAGGGACCAGACTGCTGCAAAAACCACCTGGGAAGATCAGCCCGCAGGGATGCCCAGCCAGACCTTTTCATGTTGAACGTTTCCCAGATGCCCCCACCATCTCAGCATCCACTCTGCAGTGTCAGCCCCAAGGGATGGCAAATGAAGTCCAAGCCTAGCAGCCTTCAGGGCCCAGTCACCCCGACAGATGGTGCAGGAGGAGCAGCAACAGGGCTTTGGGAAGGTGCTCGTGTGAGGGGAATTTTATTTGAGAGTTTAAAGTGTTAAAAGAAATATGACCTGCTCAGGCAGAAGAGAAACAAAACCATGAGTTATCTTTCATTTCCTCTGAACTGGCACCTTTGGGCTCTGACCATGATCCCACAGAGTTTGTCACTCCTCAGGGTCCTGGGTTCACCCTGCACTCTACACCTCAGTGTGAGTTCAGTATAAGGACCTCATCTCCTGTCCCCAAACCAAATATACTGACCAGAGTCAAGCAGGAGGAAGCTATTGTCATGGCTCAGAAATGGGGACTGAAAAACTCCTGTGGCAGCCTATCCCATCTGAGAATATTTAATTCAAGAAGCTTCCAGGATGCTCTGAATTTCCAGTATTCCCTGCAAACATTCTCATTAACCAGAGGAGCCTGTCTGACTCACAGCATCTAGTGCGTGCAGAGCCCCTAGTGCCTGGACATGTCATGTGTACAGGGCATTCAGTGTCTACAGAACATCTAGTGTCTATTGAAAACCTGATGTCTGCAGAATATCTAGTGCGTACCAAGCATCCACTGTCGGGTCATTCAGTATTTGTGGGGCACTAAGCGCTTGCGTGTATCTTGTGTGTTCGGGGCACTGGGGCATGAAAACATCCAGTGTGTGCCGGCTCTGCTGCCCCGGGTCGAGGCTGTGGGCTGGGCATGAGGGGGGCTCTACTCACCACATTGCAGCCCACGCAGTCAGGCCCGTTCTCGCAAGTCCTGCGGCGAGCTTGAATGCCGCCACCGCACTGGGCGGTGCACCGCTCCCAAGGACCCCAGCCTGTCCAGAACACATGCGGGGGGCACAGCAGATGCTCGTTGCAGTATCTGTAATGGGGAAACCAAGACGAAAAGCAACCTGCTTAGTGTAACGTGAGGCCCCAGGCCTTCCGGGCTCCGTCCCTGCACCAGATGCTGGACACATGGGCATGCTCGGTGTGGAGGGGCGTTTGCATTTGAAGTGGTTGCTCAGTAAAGGGGGCAGATGTGGCGCTGGCCATGCCGTGTGTGCACAGACAATGGGATGCACGGGAGACAATGAAGAAAATGCTAAACTCACAATGCAGAATGGATCTTCCTGTGCAGCCAATTAAAGGAGACACAAACAAAACAAAACCCTTCAAATAGACACCCAAAAATGAGAACACATAGAAAATACCTAGGTAGGGCATTTATCTTCTAAACACAAACATTGAAAGATAAAGCAGGTTATGAATATAGAATCAGCCCAAGTGTATTTGGATTTCATTTCTCATCCATGAAGCAAATAAGGCTCATACTTTTATTATACAATAAGTTAAAAGTTAGAGCCTGATTTAAGCATAAAGCTTCATGCTATATATTGCATAGGTTACTGCATTTTAAAATTTATTTACGCACACCCAGAATGATGTCCAACCTTAATTTAAGACTACTTGTTATCCAAAAAGAGCTGAATTGCTATTTACAAATACTGGTCCTATTTTTATGATGGAATGTACCTCTATAATTCTACATATACATTCATATTGCCGATTTTTAGCCAATATACAAGGGTTTCTTAAGCTGCATATGATGGAGCAAGTAACAGCCAGGAGAATTTAGATTGGAATAATTGAAGAGAGACAGTCCAAGTCAGCCAGACATGGTGGTGGTGGCGGGAGGAGAGGAAGGGATGCACACGGGGCTCGGCAGAGTGAGAGTAAGATACAGCACCTGTGTGAAGGTACAGGAAAAGTGGCAGACAGCAGGGTCAGCAGTCAGCCTCTCAAGTGAAAATGGGAGGCATGCTTACTTCCCAGGAGACAGCGTTGCTAGGTCCTGGCAGAAGAAACCTCCAGAAAGACAAGAACCAATCCGGCAAAGGGTTTAGTTTCTCTAAATTTTCACACAAAAGGGTAGCCAATGGGCCCTGGCCAGTGTGGCCAGTGTTGGTTGGGTGTCATCCTGTGCACCACGAGGTCACAGGTTTGCTTTTCAGCCAAGGGCACATCCACAGGTTGCAGGCTTGATCCCCAGGAGAGGGCGTGCAGGAGGCAGCTGACAGATGTGCTCTCACATCAATGTTTCTCTCTCTCTCCCTCTCCCTTCTTCTCTCTCTAAAAATAAATAAAATATTCTTAAAAATAAAAAAAGAATAGCCAATGGAACCGAAGAGTCATCACTCTTCTTTCATCTTTTCCACTTTTGAGGCAAAAAGAAACATTGGGTTTCCCTCTTTAAGAAGTCACATACAGTCTCCCAGAGCCCTGGTTCTCAGAGCTCAGGGTCAAGGACATAGAAGGGAAGGACCTTCTAATGAAGAGAGCGTGTGACCTCTAGATAAAAGAGGTACAACAGATTAAAGGAATATTGTATCCTATTAAAGATACAATAGATTAAAGGAATATGACCCTAGGAAGCCCGTGCAAATGTGTAGAGTTACAATAAGTAAAGGAACCTGGCTGCTTAGAGATTACTAACATATGTGTTAGTGCATGGACTGTTCCAAGAGGAAATTGCTGTTTATTTTAAGAACATATTTGGAAGCAGTAAGTCAAGAAAACTCAGAACATCAGAACTCTCAGCATGTAACTCAAAATCTCCACGTGCAGCTTCTCTCAATGAGAAGTAGATAACCACCTCCTGCTTCCACGCCGATCCACCAACATTTAAAAGGGATGGAGATCCTAGGGGCCTTGGCCCTAATTTCAGCTTTCAAAAACACGAACAAACAATAAAAGAGTAGGGAGAGCAAAGGAAATATAAGACCATTGACTTTTAATAAGAAGCACAAAGCTGAGCTACCATTTCCCCATAGCAAAATGAATCATAGTGTACAAAACTTTCTCACGTTTGCCTGTAGCAGGCCACCTTTGAGAATGCCCCGCGTGTGGTTACAGCTAAAAATCCATTTCAGGAGAATGTGAAAACTGCATGGAGCATAGAACTTTCAACCAGTGTTACACAGTCCCACATCTGGCTGTCTTTGAAGGTAGACCACAACGTGGTCTTCCTTTTCTTTCTCTTCTCCCTCTACAGTGGTCCCAGGAGAAAAGCTACGCCATGGTTTTGTGACTGTGTCACCCTCTGCCAGGGAGGTAAGAAGGAAAGCAACATTCATAGGCTCTCTCTGTCCTGTTATGTCTGGGTTTTTATTCACAAATCCAGCAGAGAGAGCCTGCTTAGTGGCAAAACCCTTGCAAGCCCCTACCTCTGATTTTTTTGCCATGTCAAGGAAAAAGTGCCCCCCTGGTCTCTTGACTCCCACCCCAACTAACACATGCTCCAAAGAGACGCACCTTGTTAAACTACTCTTTCTTTGTCACAAACAAAAGTGGAAATTGAAGGTTAGTTATCCTGGAAACTCTGCTTGTTCAAGGAATTTTATTAATGGATCAGATACCTGCACAGTGGGCCAGCTGTTGGGTCCTCATCGCACTAGTTCTCTACACGCAGCTGGCTTTTACCAAATAACATATTTTTGAAATTTTATGGGCTCTCTTGGATCTCTAGCATCTTAAATCACTGACGGTCACAGATGCATTTCATTATGCATTAAAAATTAAGATTTTAATTTTGCCCATGACTGCTCATTCTCATTTTGCATTTAAAAGTTAATTAATAACCCAGCAATATTTCTCCATAAATTAACCATTTTCCCACAAACTTAGTCTCTGGGAAAAGAAATGCTTTTCATAAACTCATACAGACTAGATTCTCAACACTGTATCATGTTTCTTTTCATATTTCTTTATGCTATAAGTTGTGTTCTGTTCTGGTTAGGTCCACGGCAGCTTCTCACTACAACCTGTGTTAGCTGGAATCAATCAGAGCCCCATCAGAACTATTTTCAACTTCGTCTCTCTAAGTGATTGTCCCTTTGCTGAGCCACACTGAAATAATGGTATCTTTTGTGGTACCAGAGGATGAATCTTTATATACATTGTGTCCACCATCCTATTTATTTTTACCCCAAGAAAAAGGTAAGAGAACCCAGTAGGGGAGAGAAATGACTTGCAAAGAGCTCACTAAGGATTAAGTAAAAACATGAAGACAAAGAATAATCATATTATTCACGAAGACAAAGAAAAATCATATAATAACCCCCATTTAATCCTTTCACTCTTAACTCTAACCTGGTGCCCATGATCCTCACCTCCTGGAATTCACACCTGTATAATCCCCTCCCATTCAGTGTTGGGGAACCTGTGACTTGCTCCTAACTAATAGAATACGGCAAAAATTATAGGACATCACTTCCATGCTTATGTTACATAAGATTGTAATGCTTTTATTTCAGGAAAACTCTCCTGTGCTGGCTTTGAGTTAGGTTGGAAAGGCTCAGGTGGCAAGGAATCGAGAGCAGCATCTAACAGCTTCAGTCCAACAGCACACAAGGAACCAAATGCTGCCAACAACCATGGGATTTGGGAAGCAGACCCTTCTCCAGTCGAGCTTCAGATGAGACCACAGCCATGGTCGACTCCTTGGATGCAGCCTTATGAGATCCTGAAGCTAAGGATGCAGGTAAATTGTGTCCAGGCTACAAACCCACAGAAACTGTGATCTAATAACCATGTGGGGTTTAGGCAGCTGAGTTTGTGGTAATATTATTATATAATAACTAGTAAAACAGATTTTGGTACCTAGACATGTGGTGCTACTGTAAGAAATACATAAAAATGTGAAAGGGCTATCACCACTCTGTTATCTGTGTCTGTGGGTTATACATATATGTTTTTTGGCTTAATTCCTTCGCCTTCTTTCATCCAGTCCCTCAATCCCCCTCCCACCTGCCAGCTGCCAGTCTGTTCCATGTATCTACGCCTCTGTTTCTATTTTGTTTGTCAGGTTATTTTGTTCATTAGATTCTACATATAAGTGAGATCATGAGGTATTTGTCTTTCTCTGACTGGCTTACTCTCAACCAATTTTAAATCTTGCAAGGCTTAGAAATAGCAGGGAAACTGCTCTCCTATAGTCAGCCTTTTCACTTATCAACTAGCGTCAGCTCAGAAATGACATATTTTCGCAAGAGTATCATGGGGGAACTACTTCAAAAATGACCAACCCTGCTTTGCAAAAACCATCTTTCATCCCCTCTGAGGTGAGAGGAATAAAACCTTAATTGGAAATTTAGGAAAACAGTGAAGAAAGAAAAATGATTGTCTGGTTGTTTTGAGGTTGTAATAAATACTTAGTAGAGAACTATCTGTACAATAAGAATGTATATAAATCTAATATATAAATATTATATTGTCTATATAAATATATATCACACAGCGAATGACTGCATACAGTATTTTATGAGGCTCCCATCGAATCCATATCCCTAGATATGAGCCTTACTACATTTTAATTAAAAGGTATTGAAAGTCATTTTCTTTCACATGGGATCAATACAGTAAGTTTATGGGAATATGGCAGAATAAGAATCCTGAAAGTGATGTGAAAATTACCTACTTGGATATTCTCCAACAACCATAAATGAAAATGTACTTTAAATATGCAAGAAAGAGTGAAATATCACGAGGGTAGTTTCATGAGGCCAAAATCAAACGTCTGATTCTATAAATCTGTTTCTAACAAACTGTCAAATGCAAGACTGAACTGAAATGCCCCCATGATATGCTGAAAGCTTCAAATACACATGGAAAAGAAGGCCTCACTCTAGGTGATACTGTAGCTTCACGGAGGGTATCTGGCAGTAGAAGAGTGAATATGTCCTCACCTAAGCCCCAGCTGCTTAATATAGTTCTGATGGAGAACTTTACTTCATCTGACCAACTCATCTGGACCCAGGGCAGCCTTCGGTCCTACACAGAACTGTAGGTTTGAGACTGGTGGAGCTGGATTCTAAGGAACACAAGCTTTATCCAGCAGACTCACTTGCTGAGTCTCCAGGGAGCCCAGCACAGATCGGGACAGGGGGCCCCCAGTCCCTGGATCTCCACTCCGTTGGGAATTGCTCAGCTGAGCCAACCACACAGGGGCCACAGCAGCCCAGCGATGCTATCTATCAACACAAGGCTTGGGTCAAAATTTAAGGATGTCAGTGTAAGAGGAGGACAATTCGGCTCAACAGAAAGGGATGCCACAGATAGGTTAAGCTACATTCTCCGACCGCACTGGGGTGACAGTAGGTGGAGGATGGCGATGCTGGGGCAGAGCGGGCCGTACCTTTCCTCGCGGTTCTGTCCCACACACACCCGGCCCCCGTGTCGGGGCGTGGGGTTGCTGCAGGACCGCTGGCGCACCTGGAAGCCGATCCCACAGGTGGTGCTGCAGGGAGACCAGGAGGTCCACGGGGTCCAGCCTCCATTCCTGGGGGAGGAAGCAATACGGTCACTGAGTCGAACCGGCTCGAAGGCCAGCTGGCACCCACCTCCCACTTCAGGGGCTTCCCCACGCGGGCCACTTGGTTACGGGCTGTGAAGAAAAAGTGAACTGGGGCAATGGGGCTGAATGAGCTGCACGATGGGAATCTCAGTTACTATGAGATTTATCTCCCAGGTACCTGATTTTAAAGTCAAGGTAGGAAATTCAAGAGTAACATTTTAAGTGTTCTATAAATAATTCAAAATGGGCAATATTAGAAACTATTAAGAAACTATTTAGTTATAAAAATATACATTTAATAAGAAATGTTAATTCATTGAAAAGCAATTAAAGATGAACCCCTGAACCTCTAGATTATATGCTTTTACTTGACTTGCACTATTTCAGTTATAATTAAAGTGCACATATGAACAAAATAATCATCCAAGACTATACGTAATGCTTACTTTTAAAATCAATGAAAATCAGTAATTCTCTTGGTAGTATTCATATGATATCAAACACAATAATGTCTAGAGCTTTAAAAAACCTTTATTAAAAATGAAGGAAGGATATTTTAAACTCAGATTCTTGGCTATTTTCTTGCAATTTGACAAACATATAGAGTATAAATAGGGAGTGCACATTGTGCTCATCTGAATTTATTTATGTTATTTAAATATTTATATAAAATTAGGGAGATATATTAAAATACAATAAAAGTAAAATAAACCACTTTTATAAAATATGAAGTACTGCTTTTAAAATATAAGATACTACTGTGGTCATGGTGCCACAGGGGCAGGGGACAGAGGAGAAAATTGAGCATAATCATAAAAGAAAATCAACCAGAAACAACAGAACACTAAGCATAAGACACAGGAAACCTACTCAACAGATCACACTGTTTGAAAGGGTCTCAGGGTACCCAGGATCATATGCTACAGAGCTGGGGGTTGGGAGCTCAGATATACTATAGAGCAGAGAGCCTTTCGATGAAGATTTGGCTTCTCCTACCCCTCAGCTATTGTCCTAGCACACAGCAGTGGATAGATGCCACACGGCGTGCCCAGACGACTAAGCATGCCTTCCTCCAGCTGCCGAGAAGGTTGGTGGCTATAACTCCTCTGAGAGGTTCTATCAGCCATCAGGGGTCCTCCCAGCTACGGAGTTCCCCATAGAACTCAGCTGAGTCCCTTATTGGGCCTGCAGCACAGGTCAGTCCTTGCTCAGCCAAGGTCTCTTCCTTCCAGTCCTCACAGGTGTTAATCCTGGCGCACCCTCCAGTTTCCTTCCTGCACAGAGATCGCCTGTCACAGTGACACTCCTGACCATCCCAGGACAAACACAGGCTTTGCTCCTGAAGTTCCATAAAGGAAGGTATTGTGTAGGAAAAATGGAAGGCTGCCAGGCTCAGTGCATTTAGATGATAAACTCCTGTCAAGACTCTGGGCCTGGCCAGACGTGGCTCAGTGGTTGAGCATCGACCTAGGATCCAGGAAATCGGGGTTCGATTCTGGTGAGGGCATATGTCTGGGTTGCGGGCTCAATCCCCACTTGGTGGCGTGCAGGAGGCAGCTGATCAATGACTCATCATTGATGTTTCTATCTCTCCTCTCCCTTCCTCTCTCTGAAATCAATAAAGATATATTAAAAAAAAAACAACAACAACACTCTGGGCCTTCCCTTGATCTCCTACCTTCCTATTAGCTGGTTATATTTCTTAATCAATCAATCAATCAAGATCTCTCTCTCTCTCTCTCTCTCTCTCTTCCTCTTCTCCCTCCATCGCTCCCTACTAAGAATTGGAATTCAGAAGTGACATAATGCCATGAGGATGCACATTCAAATGTTTATTTTAATTATAAAATAAAACCATATTTTTCTGATCAATAATAAGTCTGGCTTGGCCCTGGTTTGAATAGTCAAGTCTAGCTTAGTTAATTAATTTATATTGTAGGTTTCTTTACAAAAAGTGAATGTTTTTAGTCCTACTACTCCAAGGTATTGAGAAAACATATTTAAATAATGTGATGAGATAAAGTGTATAAACAAAAACATTATACTCCTAAAATGTATTAAATTAGCAATATTTCAAATTTTCCAGCACTGTCTGAGTGTATTGGGTTAAACAAGGTGCCTATGCATAAAGAATAGCAGGTTGAATTTAGAATCATTTGAATGGCCTTCTTAGAGGCTCTTTGATGTTCTCTGCACAAACTGAGAAAGCATTTGACAGTACTGACTGAGCAAAAAATTCAGTTTATAAATTAGGTGGTTTCCAATGTTTTGCTTCCAACAAAATCGAAGGCCAACATAAACAGGTTATCCATTAATATAGGACATTTAAAAAGTCTTTGATGTCAGATTATCATAATTTTGGCAGACAATTTTGAGAAAACTTAGAGAAGTGAGTGACAATGCTATGATCTTCTATTTCCAACTACTTACATAATTAAGACCTGTCAGCACTTAGAACTAGAAAAATAAAACATTTCAATGGAACTGGTGCTTCCTGCCTGACTCAGGCAAGAAGCTTCGTTTATGCCTGAATGGCAACAAGAATTGGGAATTAAAAAGAACAGCATTAAGAGATGAAATTTCAATAAAATCTCAGTTTTCAATGTTAAGTAATTATTAGGCAAAATGTGTAATATCCATGATGTTCAGATTAATTGTGTGTTAATTTTTGAAATACATATTTAAAATGCAAAGCCTTTGGCTGTCAGAAATAATTTTTAAAAACAATTCCTTTCATATAATTTGTTTTGTGGTAGTTGCAGAAGTATAATAGGGTAAGCAATATAAGGCTTCAGGCATAAAAACAAACCTATTAGGAAGTTAAAGAGAAATACAGACAAAATTTCTGAATGTTAAATTAGAACCTGCTCATCTTTTTTTTTTTTTTTTTTTTTTTTTGGGGGGGGGGGG